ATAATATTGTAATTATAATATTTATGATATTTTCTATGTATAAGGAGCAAAGTTAAATAAATAAATAAAAAAAGAAGAAGAAAAGGAACCCTTTGACCATCTCCTATGCTTAGACTACTAGTACCTTGTGCTTAACTTATTGTACCTCGGATATTCCACTATAAAAAACCGATTCATGGTTCTAATCTAGCGGCCGACATCCCAACAAAATAGGGTTTCGGATCTAACGGCCCCAAACCCCTCCACCGCCAAAACTATTAATACGCAAACCCTAGCCTTCTCCTCTCCTCTTCCCTCCTGCTCCTGCGCCTCTTTGCTACACCTTCCGTAGCAGGGGAAGCAGAAGCTCAATTTCTCTTCTTTCTCATATCCAATGCCTTCCTTAGCTTTTACGGAGGCCAAAGAGATGAAAGAGGAGAAGAAGATGAAGAAGAAAATAGCTCTGGAAACACCAGAAACCGAGAAGAAGAGCAAGAAGCTTAAAGAGTCGAAGAAGAAGCGGAAGGCGGCGGAGATGGAGGAGGAGGATGAGGTGAAGAGCGAGACGAGCTCTGAGCTTGTTGAGCCTGTGGATTTGAAGGAGAAGAAGAAGAAAAAGAAGGCGAAGGTGGAGGAGGATGAGGATGAGGATGAGGTGGAGGTTGAGGAAAGGAAGAGTGAGGATCCTAATGCTGTCTCCAGGTTTCGGATTTCCGAGGCGTTGAGGGAGAAGCTGAAGTCTAAGGGGATCGAATCACTGTTTCCGATTCAGGCCATGACTTTTGATATTGTTTTTGATGGCTCTGATTTGGTCGGGCGCGCGCGTACTGGTCAGGTAATGAAAATTTTGTTTTTTGCCTTTCTTTTTATTGCTCTTGATGACTCTGATTGGAATGCAGTTTGCTTTTTGATATATCATGCTGTTTTCTCTTTAATTTTGATATTTGCTTTTCTCTTATAGTGTGATGACAATTTGAGCTTAAACTGCGCAAGTTTTCTTTGTGTAATGCTAATAGTTTGTTTCCATCAAGTATTTGTTACATGGTCATTCATAGGTTTTTAGCAACTTGGTCCTGTTTGCAATTCTGCAGGGTAAAACACTGGCTTTTGTGTTGCCCATATTGGAGTCTTTAACAAATGGGCCTGCAAAAGCATCAAGGAAAACTGGATATGGCAGGGCACCCAGTGTTATTGTACTTTTACCAACTAGAGAATTGGCTAATCAGGTATAATAACTTGAATGACGACCTAATTTTGGATATATCTAATTCTTTCCAAGTGCTGTTTATGATAAGTCATGGTTTGTATTTAGGTACATGCTGACTTTGAAGTTTACGGTGGGGCATTGGGTTTGGCAACATGTTGTTTATATGGAGGGGCTTCTTACCATGATCAAGGTATGAAACTGAAGAGAGGTGTTGATATAGTTGTTGGAACCCCTGGGCGCATAAAGGTCAGTTTTCCTTATCTATTTTATTCAAGTTGAAAGTTTTGATTATATATACGCACGCTCATCATTTGATTTTCTATTGTAATTTTTGTGTAGGATCACATAGAGAGGGGCAATATTGACTTAAGATCGTTAAAGTTTCGCATACTTGATGAGGCTGATGAAATGCTGAGAATGGGGTTTGTTGAAGATGTTGAACTCATTTTAGGTATGTATTTTTGTGCGTCCAGTGAATTCCCCTTATTTTTTGTCATTTCATAAATGTGAAAAAGCATAATATGCCCTGCTCCTATTCGTTTAAATTAGTTGGTGAGACTTTGTATTCTCTGCATTCATTATTTGCTGTTCAATTTTACTGATCAAATCTTTTCATTTTGCAGGCAAGGTAGAGGATGTGACTAAAGTTCAGACACTTCTCTTCAGTGCCACCTTGCCAGACTGGGTGAAAAATGTATGTTTTCTAAAATCCTAAGTCATACCATCTTTACAAGTTATAAATTTTTCGCCTATTACTTCAGAATACGATTCATGATTATAAATATATAATTTTACATATCTGACTAAATTCTGTGTGTGGGTTGCCAGATTGCAGCACGGTTTCTTAAACCAAGTAAGAAAACTGTTGATCTTGTTGGTAATGAGAAAATGAAGGCTAGTGCCAATGTTCGTCATATTGTCTTGCCATGTTCTAAATCAGCAATGTCTCAGCTAATTCCAGATATAATTCGTTGTTATAGCAGGTGTGCTTTTACTCATAAAAATAACTATCTTTTCATGATATGTGGACTTTCCTCACAGTTTTCCTTCTGGCTTATTTGTGATTTAGTGGTGGTCGCACAATTGTCTTTACAGAGACAAAGGATTTTGCTTCTGAGCTCTCTGGTTTGTTGCCTGGAGCACGGGCTTTGCATGGAGACATACAGCAGGCTCAGCGTGAGGTCAGTTGTTGCCTTGTTAACTGGTCTTAAAGAGCTTGTTGGTTTCTGGTTTACTCAATTTTTTATACACTTGCAGGTCACCCTTAAGGGCTTCCGGTCAGGCAAGTTTTCTACACTAGTTGCTACGAATGTGGCAGCACGAGGATTGGATATCAATGATGTGCAGTTGATTATTCAGGTCTATTTTATTATGTATATGTTATTGTTAAATATGTTTGGGATGGTCATTGACTTAAATATGCTCAAGTTCAGTTCTTTTGCTTTTTCAGTGTGAGCCTCCACGCGATGTAGAAGCCTATATCCATCGATCTGGACGAACTGGAAGAGCAGGTAAAGGGAATGAGTTAGCTCTTTTTGTTATGAATGGCTAGAATTGGATAAGATACTTAGAAGTATTATTGTCATTTCAGGCAATACAGGTGTTGCTGTGATGCTTTATGATCCAAGAAGATCAAATGTATCTAAGATAGAACGAGAATCTGGGGTGAAATTCGAGCACATATCCGCTCCCCAGCCAGTTGATATTGCCAAATCTGCTGGTCAAGAAGCAGCAGAAACCATAACCCAAGTATCTGATAGGTATGGTTGTATTGATATCTGATGTGTGTAGAAAATTTTATGAACCACAGATACTTATGATGTGCATGGAATTGCAGTGTAATTCCGGCCTTCAAGTCTGCTGCTCAGGAGCTTTTGAAAAATTCTGGACTATCAGCTGAAGATCTACTTGCAAAAGCTCTTGCCAAGGCTGCAGTGAGTTTTATTCTTTATCAGCCCTGGAATTTCTTTCTTTTATTTTTTATTTTTTGGAAATAGGGCAAGTTTAGAGGCAGGTGAGTTGCCTGAGTTTGAACCCAGGGTGACCTACAAACGCAGGCCTTGTAGGTCGTCAAGCTTTAAGCTTGGAACATGAACCATTTGGGCACATGGTTTGGCTCTATCAGCCAAGGAATTTCTTGTATTCTGATATTATGAAATACTTCATTATCTGGTGGTTTCTTTCTTTTTTCCTATTAATTTTGTACTTCTGATTTTCATTTTGGTTAAAAAAATCT